CTCCACCATCTGTTCCCACGGTAGGCGTTGGCTGGGGGCCACGTGGCTGGCAGAGCCTGGGCCTGCCTCATGGGCCAGCCATCCAGCAGGGCTGGTTCTGGCCTCACACACCCACGACTGCGTGTTCAACCACTCCACTCCACCTCGACCCAAGCCCTCCGGCTCAGCTTCTCCTTCTCTGACCTCGAGACTCCACCCACAGAATCTCTTTGCTTGTTCTCCATCACCAGCGAACTGTGGGGATCTAGCCAAGGAGACGGCCCTCTGGCCAACGTACTAAGAGGCTACTGTCCTGACAGCGTTCAGGGCCACTTGTGACTCCAGCACAGGGACAAGGAGTAATCTTTGTATAATCGAAAAAGTTCAGTTGTATCTTCTTACCTGCTCCCTCTCAACCAAGTAGTGCCACAGACTGATGTCTGCCAACAAGAGTTCCCTCCTTCTGCGAGTCTCACCTCTTCCCCTCCTGGTCTTAGGGAAAATAAAGGAAGTTGGAGAGGGGAGGCACCAAGAAGAAGGGATGTTCAGGCTGGATTTTGATGGATGAGTTTTGAGTTAAATAGGCCAAGAGAGGAGAAAAGAGATGAGAAAGGCATTCCAGAGAAAAGAAATGGCATGTGCAAAGGCCAAGGGGTAAGAGAGACCACAGCGCTCTCAGAGCCATCCGTCTGTTACCTGTGTGGCTGAGTGTGCATGGGAAGGTGATGGAACCCAGAGCCAGTAGAGGAGACAGGGGCCAGTTCTTGTCAAGAATACTCATTTAGCCAGCACTTATGAGCACCTCTATACTTGCCTCAGTGTGGGGCGTAAAGATAAACAGATGATAGGAACATAAAGATGTTTGACAGATAATTTGCCTTATTCATCATTGTAACCTCAGTGCCTGCCAAAGTGCTGGGACCATGGCAAGCACTCGCTGAACATTTGCAACACAAATGAAGGAATGAAGGAAAGAAGAAAAGAAGGAAGTATGACAAGGCCTCTTACAGAGAAGTAGGATAGAGTGAAGAGAAGTCAATCTTGCCGAGCAAAGAACCCAAATCTTAGAGAAAAGCCGCTGGAAAGGAAGACTATTTTTCTTTATTTTAAATGAAATAAGCTTACTATAGTTTTCAGAGCAAACTTGAGCTGTGGCTTGTGCAGTCAGTCACCCTATGGTTGAGATTTTGGTATTTTTTTTTGCTGTCGATGCAACATGCTGTGAGGATTTCCACAGCGCGTTGTGTTGAGCAAGCAAAGCCTGCAGAGGAGAGACTGGGCAGGGCCTCCTGGAGCTAGAAAAAGAAGGCCAGATTGATGCAAGAAGCGACAAACCTGTGCAGGGAAGTGTCCAAATTGTTGCCCAGCCACACCTGGAATGTGCCTCAGGTAGGAGCCTTTGGACTCACAAGAGGCATTTATCTGAGGACAGTTTGTGGCATTTGGCCCGCTCAGAATTGAAAGCTGACAGGTCTCAGAGTAGAGGGGAATGTGTCCCTGCCACAGTAGAGTGGCATGGCTCTCCAGAGCACCCAGAGAGCTGACTGGGAGATGTCCCCTGTCTCAGCCCCCCAAACTTTGGCTGGGGCTGGAGATTTGCTTGGTGGGTGAGAGCAGACATGGGCCGGCCACAGGTCTGATCCTTGGCCAGCTAGTCAGCCCTATTGTCCAGGCTCCGTGGTATTATCTCCCCAGTGGACTCCAGGCCCTCTTGTGGGGATGTCTGCTCCTAGAGAGAGGGTTACAGTGGGTACCCAGGAGCAGCCATTTCATATGCCTCGGGTGGAGGAAAACTCCAGCTCCAAGACTCACCTGGGAGAGACCAGGATGACCAAGTCACAGGTGCCTCCCAGAACTTCATTCCTTTGGGGAGAAAAGATGCCCAGTGCCCAGATGCAGATCTATCATGTAGTTAATGGAGCTTATACCTCGTGGCGTTAGCTTGAACAAGCCCTTTCCAAGACTCTAGACCTAATTTTATATTTGCCATTTTGCAATCTTTTTCTTAAAGAGAGTTCCCTAAATTATATAAACTTCAGGCACCACAAAACAACCCACCCTTGCCAATGCTCCTGGATTTTAGAAAACCTTGAACAGACAGTGAGTGTGTGGTGGTGGGTAGGGGGGTGGGGGGCAGTCAGAGTTCACAGGCCTCCGCTCTGTCCTGGGGGTAAGATGGTGGAGGGCTCTAGTTCAGAGCAGACAATGTCCTCTCTGCAGCCCAGAGGAGGTGTGGTGGAAGGAGACTGTCAGCTATAGAAAGATCAGGTGTCATCCCGAGAAATAGGAGTTGACAAGTGTGAATGCACCAGATCAAACACCACTTCCAACTGTGTCTATATGGCCCATATGGTCTACATGGAGCATTTGGTGATAACCCTTGGTTGACCGCTGGCTTAAAATGGATGTTGTGATGTAAAATACCATGGAATTATACACTTTAAAAGGGTGAATTTAATGGTATGAGAATTATATCTCAATTAGGGAAAAAAGGATGCCGCTAGCTTGGCTGCTACGCTGTTTTCCTTGTGTGTTTGATCTAGATGTGATGGGTTCATAAAGACACTGAGGTTTCTGGGTGCTGAGGTTTCTGGGCATCAGTCACACACAGCAAGAACTGTTCAGGGATCACTGCATCTTGGCTGAGTCCTCACTGAGCTAGGAGATAAGACAGTTTGCACTGTGAACAAACTTCCTGTCCAGCTGTGGTCCCTGGAGGCAGTGGAGTGGCCTCAGCCATTTCTGGGATACTAGGCCTCAATTTGCTGTCCCTATCTTGGCATTTTTTTTCCAAGCC